CAAAATACTAATTACAACCCATCACCACACACACACACATCATTCTTATAGATGGTTTCAAAACACAAATCAGCACACCTTTATAACTTTTCCTACAACTTTTGGGGGTATTCAAAATTACTGATGGGGCTCCTTGCCACCAAAGATTCTTGACCAGAATAAGACATCTCACACAGGATGGAATGCCCATAGACTCAACCTATGCTCCCCCCAAAAATCCAACTTTATTTTCTGAGAGTCTTCTACACAATGTCTCTGTTCAGACTTTCTCCAAACCATTAGCAAGTTTAAAAACAGTTTCTACTACAAAAAACCAAAGTCACTTAATCCATTCATTCAGTATGTGATAACGCTGCTGAGCCGGTTTGCTAGTGGCTGTATTAAGGTGTGTGGTTTCCTTTGCACTCGCAGCTGACACTCCACACTTCCCAGGGATGGCATTAACAATACCTCACACTCTGGGATAGCCTGAGCCCTGACCACTCACAACAGACGCTGGCCATAACAAGCAGGGTGAAAGTTCTGGATTGTGTCACACTTCTCTTCCCGGCCCCTGCATTGTCCCCTTTCTGCTTGGCCTGGGGCCTCCCCCTAGGTAAGTTCATCAACTCCCACTTGGGTCCCCACAGTGCTCCAAGGACTCCCTGTGTCTCCAGCTGCTTACTGAAAATTGCTATCCAGGTAACACACAGGACTTTTAAACTCGACAGTTAAAAATCACACCCGGGGGACCGGCCCCGTGGCATAGCGGTTAAGTGCACGCACTCCACTGCTGGCGGCCCGGGGTTCGGATCCCAGACAGGCACCGATGCACCGCTTGTCAGGCCATGCTGTGGGGGTGTCCCATATAAACTGGAGGAAGATGGGCACGGATGTTAGCCCAGGCCCAGCCTTCCTCAGCAAAAAAAAGAGGAGGATTGGCATGGATGTTAGCTCAGGGCTGAGCTTCCTCACAAAAAGAAAAAAAAAAAAAAATCACAGGATTTCCTCTCTACTCTCCTTCTTGGCCACACACACACACACCAACTGATAGGTCCATTTTTCTCGAAACACTCCTCGCCTTGACTGTCCTTGACTTCTGTGACACCACCCTATCAATATACATCTCAGAGACTTCTTACTTCCCATGCTTTAGAAAAATCTGTGAAACAAATCTTGAGATAAATTCACTCAGCCCTAGAGACTGAGAAATGTCTGCAGGTGGACGTTCAGTTCCCCAGGCCGTGCCTCTGACTGCAGCATCACCATTCCAAGGCTCCTCCGCTAGCCCACAACTCTCCTGTGAATCCCTAAAATACGAACTCAGGCTTCCCCTGTTCACCTCCTCTGTTAAACGCAATAAAGCCTGAATAGGAGGGGCTACTGATCCGTGAAAAGTGCCTAATAGTAGGTTGCAGGCAAACTCTTTTTTAAAAACACCTGATTTCAAACAACAGGTGCATACGAACTGGGGGCTGACATCAGCAGTCCTTTGTTCCAGGTCAGAGGTGCCCAGTGAGTGACTGTTGCTACCTTTTCACGAGTAAATGTGGACACTGATACCCTACAGAATCCACACTGCCAGATCCCAGGGAGAGAGGAAGTGAGACGACTGTGTATTCTCCTATTCAATGGAGGCGATCGACCAAAATGTGCCGTCACTACAAGAACCCCTAAGTTGCCGTCCCTTATCTACAGCTGCATTTGAGGGCTCCTCAGGGAAGGCTGGTTGAGATCTGCTGGCTTCTGGGCACCACGAAGACGGAGCTCTCCAGGGCCTTTGGCATTGTCTACTCGACTCCTTCATTTCCCTCAGATCTGATCAAACCCTGGAGAACCGACTCATGTTAATCAGGCTCACAGAAGCTGGCAAACCAACAATTTATCCTAAATTTACAACGGGGGATTACTGTGCCTTTTTAACGTCCAGAATATACATTTTTACTATCCTAAGCACCAATGTTCCTCGGAAACTGCCCAGGTGTCAGAAGGTAAACTAAAAACATTTGGGTGAACTAAACAACATTTCCCAAAGTGTGATACTGGCTCAACACAAGGCTGACATGAGGGAAGCCATATTGTAGAAAAGAAACCCTATGGTAACTTTGAATGACCTCTGACTAGCCCAGACATGCTCTGTGGATTTTATGGCCCCTCCCAGCTGCTATAAGTTGATAACTTTGTTCTCTTGAGTTCCTTAGGAATGTGATGACCCCCTAGCAGAGAGCCCAGGCTGACAGCCATCATCAATGACAACTGAAAGATCAGGGTATAGGGTGTTGCCCTGGTCTCTGATGCATATCCAGTAAAACCAAAGACTATCAGGAACTAAGACCAGATGGATGCCCCCACCAGGAGATCAGCTGCCTCCCCCACCCGGAGATCATCACTGTATATAACTGGCCTGAAGTCTTTGTTCACTAGGACAGTGTTTTTCAGACATTAGTCGGCTATGGTCCCTCTTGCTAGCAGGCTGTAATAAAAAGTCCTTTCTCTCTGCCACCTTGCCTCTTGACTATTGACATGTCTCCTGGCGGACAGACAAACCCCCCTTTTGGGCGGTAACAAGTGGACTCCTTGGAACGTCGGATCCAGAAGATGCTTCATGAGAAAGAGTGTTCCGTAGCCAAATGAAGTTGGCCAACATTCCATATTATGGCGTCACCCTAAAGAGTCCCAGTACACATTATAATAATAAAGGCACTGAAAAGTCCTGCAGTGGAAAACTGCTTAACATTAGCATTTCTCTAATATATTTTACCACTGTAACTCTTTAGTAATTCTTTAGTAAAGGTGCATCCTAAAACACAACTTGGTAAATTCTGCTCTAGACAAATACTGCATGGGGTGAGCCTCTGAGCACAGCCAGCCACCTCCAGCAAGTCAGCTGTGGTTCGGCGAAACAATTACTGGACCTGGAGCCCTGGTTCTAGCTTTGGTGTGTTGACCTCTCCAGGCCTGTTTTCTCACCTACCAAATGGAATTAACAGTATTGTTGTGAGAAACAACTGAGATATTATCCGTAAAAGCATTTTATAAAGTGCTATAAAAATATGATTATCTGCTAAGAATACACTTCTTGCTCTGTAATGCCTCAAGATGCATTTACAAAGGGATACTTTTCTTCATTCTTTTAACACCTATTCCTTGAGGGCTGCGCAGTAGAGCTCTGATCTGGCTTTCCACCTTGGGGTCCAGCGCACACTGCTCGTAAGTGATACACGCAAGGTATTCTGGTGGTGCTGAGGGGGTGCCTCACCAGAGAAAGGAGGAGGGAGGCAGGGAAACCTTCCCAGCTGAAGCTATTAGGAAACCTGAAGGATCATTAGGAGGGCTAGAGGTACCAGGGGAGTGGGACCTAACGCCAAAATGATATAATGTGGGGAGTATGTGAAGAATGGGCCCAGCGAAGGCTGACCTTCCAGTGTTGCATGCCCTTGCCCACAGGAGAAATGAGTTCTCTATCTCCTCCAAGCAGAGGAAGAGAATTTAGCCCGGCAAGGAAGTTGTTTCTGAAGCATGGAACTCCTCTTTGGAGTAGGGAGTGACCCTTGAATTTGGAGAGTGGAGGGATAAGAGTGGTGCCCAGAAGTTCTCTCTACACAAGCAGCACAAACCACAGCCCCAAAGGGAGTCAACCTCCTCCCATCTGCCCCTCATGGGGTCCAGTGTGGGCTATCTTAGCTCTCCTTCTCTACTTAGACAATCTGTCTCCAGGAAAACATCTCCAGACAAAGGAGATTCTGGTAGCACTGTCCCCAGCCTCAAACCGCTGAGAGCAGAGTCCCCAAACCCCAAACCTCCTGTCAACCACCAGCTTTCTTCTCCAGTTCCAAGTGTAAGGGCCCCTCACAATCCGTGGCCAATGTCCTCTACAGAAGTGCCAGAGCGTGGGCAATGCACAAGTGTTCTAGAGATATACTGGAGCCTGAGGCAAAAAGAAAAATGTACACCTCCGTGTACCCTTATCAAAACATTCTCCCATATGTGAACTACGTAAAAAATTTATAAAAGCTCTACAGGCAAAAAACATGACCAAATCTAAAGCTGGCACTGCTAATCTCTTGCAACACTGGAAAGCCACTGTCAACCTTCGTCAACCCCCAGATAGGGACCAAACTGAGGGAGACTGGAAACCACTGTTCCTATTGCACAATGAGGCAGGGTCTTAACAACACCCATCTTTATGACATTTTATTCATCATGGATTGTTTACATTAAATTTGATTTTTTTTAATATTGCATTAACATACTATTTCTTAATAGTGAGTGTGGCCAAGTGTTTATTTTTGCTGCAATATTTACAAAGTCCTGTTGGCCGAAGAGTGCTCTGAGGTTTCCTTACTGATGGCAGCATGTTCCTAAGAAACCGCAACGCGCTGAAACCCTCAGCCTGAAAGAAAGTGAGACCCCACCGTGTGCCGGGTTTGTGTGAGGCCTCCTCTGCTGAATCAGAAAAGCCCTAAGGATTTGAGATCTCTGAGAAGAGAGGCGCCTCTTAGGGCCCAGGGGGCGGTCTCGCCCTGTATTTCTTGGCAACATATCACAGGCTTTAAAGCTGAATTCTGCAAACCCTGCTGTCCCCCGGCCGTCGAGGGGGGCCGGGTGACGGGTGTGTGGACGCTGCGCTGCTGGGAGCCGAGGCCAAGGGTGGAGGCCGAGCCCAGAAGGGGGCGGGGAGGCCTCAAAGTGGGAATGTGGCCCCGTTCCTTCCCGGCAGGAACCCGGGGCTCCTCCTCCGCCTGCGGCGCCGTCATCAATCACCGCGACAGCCCAGTCGCCCCCTGCCCGGACTCACCGACCCTCCTGCCGGGGCTCCTCCACCCGGGGGAGAAATCTCGGGCCCGAGCGTCTCCCCCGTGCACCGGCTGGGCGCACCGACCGGGTCTGCGCTAGGCACCTGGGCTGTGCGACCCCGGGTCCGGCCCGCGCGCACAGGCGCGGGGCGCACCTGACACCCCGTAGACGTCCCCGCAGGCAGAACTCGACAAAGGTCCCTACCTCCTCCTGCTCCTGCGCGCATGCACACGCCCACACCTCGAGCCATCGCGCCTGCACCCTCCGGCTGCCCCTCACCCCAACCCCGCAGAGATCAGCCGAGGATACCCCTTGACCCTGCCTGGACCAGCGGCCGCCTTGCAGCGCCCGAATGTCACCCTGCCCCCGTCCCGGCGCCCCCTCCCCCATCAGTCCCCACGACACCTGAGGACGCTCGCTCGCTCGCTCTCTTCCCCAAGTCTCCTCCAGAGAGAAGGGAAGTGCGAGGAGCAGCACCCGGCGCCTTGAACCCCGCAGAGCCCCCGCCCGCGCCCCAGAGTCTCCCCAGACGATGGGTGCGGGCACAGGGGGTGGGGTCTCTGGTGCCACCGCCCCTTACCTCGCGCAGGCCCTCCCCGCAGGTCCTGGAGGCGGGGGCGACCGGTGGCCCCGCGGACTAGCGCGGGGCTGGGTTTCCCCGCCGGGGAGGAGCAGGAGGAGGAGGAGGAGGAAGGGGAGGGGAGGGGAGGGGAGGAGGAAGGGGAGGGGAGGGGGGGGGGGGGGGGAGGGGAGGCAGAGGGGGAGGGGAGGGAAGGGCTTTGTGTCTGCCTCCGGCCCTCCCTCGGCTCCAGTGCTAGCCATCCCCCCTCCCCCAGCCACCCTCCCGAGCTCGGGGAGGGCAGCGGGCGAGAGCGATCCGAGAGAGCAAGGAAAGCGCCTGCGCGACCAGGGGTCCGGCCGCCCCTCCTCTTGTACCGCCCACCCCCCGCCCCTCCCCTCCAGGCGTGCAGCCTCAGGTCCTACCCGGTGAGCAGGAACCGGGCTGCAGCGAGGGAGAGAGAGTTTATCTAACCCAGAGCAAACTTGCCTGGACCGGCTCCCGACCCGCCTCGGCGCCGCCGCCTCGCTCTTCTGCACTCCCCGGGGAGGACCAGAGTTTTGTTCTCGGAGATTTTCTTCCCTGTCTCCTTGCTTTCCCCTCACTACAGAGCAGCACAATGCGTGCGCACCCCCTGCCCGCAGCGAGCCCGCCGCCTAGCCGCCGACCCCACATCAGCGGCGCGGGCTGGAACGGCCGGGTCGGGGAGGTCCGCGTGGGCTCCGGCCCTGTGTGCCGGCCTCGGACACGCTTCAGGGGCCTGGGCGGCTGCCGCGGCCCCGCGGGGTGTTGTGCTTCATCCTCGCTGGGAAGGGGGCCGCCTGGGTTGGTTGCTGCGTGTGCAGGGCCGCCCAGCCCGCGCGGGCTCGACGGGCCAGAGCGGCAGGGAGGCGGGAGGGGGGTTGGCGCTGCGCTGGGAGCCCTTTATAACCCGGAGGGAGGGCGACACGGCAGGCGGGGAAGCCGGGAGCCAGGAACCAGCAGGCGCCTTTTCCTCCGAGCCGGCCGGGTCCCTGGTGAGCTGCTGAAGCTTTCCCGCTTCCCTTCTGGGGAGAGCACCTTCGGAGAGAAATACCTGACAGTGTTAGAGTTGCCCAGGTAGCTGGTGTCGCAGAAAGAGTCTCAAAGACACCTGTTTTGGACAGAAGCAGAAAAAGGCAATGGACAAAGGCCTTATTTCTTTTTTTGTTCTGCTCCAGACCACTAGCCCAAGAGACGGGCTTTCATTGGTGGTGGATCCTGTCTTCTAAAATCCCAAGAGTTATTTATCATTTATAATCAGCTCAGCTGGCAGGAAAGCATAACCCAATACTCTTCTCTTTCTGTCCGAAGTCGCCCGTTCAATAAATAATCGAGCCGGTGCTATGCACCAGGCCCGCTCTAAGGCTGGGGAGACGCTGGCCAACAGAAAGATCTCCCGCCCCTGGGGAGCTGACGTTCTGGGGCAGGGGCAGGGGCAGGAGACAGCGTAAACCGCGAACATCCACTATGACCTGGGATGTTAGAAAAGGTCAGTGACCGAGAACAAAAGAAAAAGTAGAATAAGGAGGCGGAGGAGTGCTGGCGTCCGGTGCAGGCTGCGGAATTAAGAGGGTGGGTGGTCAGAGTGGGCCTCCTGAAGGTGGGGTGGAAGCAAAGGCCTGAGGGAGGTGAGGACAGACCTGGAGGAAGCTTTAGGGTCAAAGGCTCTGAGCTGGTGGGTGGAAGCTTCTGAGGGTTTGAGCAGAGGGTGACATGATCTGATGCGCAGTGCTGAAAGAGGAGTCTGACCAGGAGTCTGACCGGGCTGGGAGCCAGCTGCAGGGGCAAAGGTGGGAACAAGTTAGGAGGCTGTGCACATAATCCAGGCTGGAAATGAAGGTGGCCCCCAGCAGGTCATAGATGGAGGTGGAGAGTAGTTGGATTCTTATTTATTTTGAGAGGAGAACTGTCAGGATTTCCTGAAAGGTTGGATACATGGGCAAAAGGGAGGGTGTACAGAGGCAGAACTAGCCCCACGTCACTCCCTCTTTTGTCCTTTAGCCCCAGAACGATTCTGTTTTATACACAAAGCACCCCAGGTAAATGCTGAGGCTGTAGGGCCTCTGCTCCTTTCTGTTCTTTCCCCTTTCTCTCTTTTCACTCACTCTCTTTTTTGTGTGTGTGAGGAAGATCAGCCCTGAGCTAACGTCCATTGCCAATCCTCCTCCTTTTGCTGAGGAAGAGTGGCCCTGGGCTAACATCCGTGCCCATCTTCCTCCACTTTACTTGGGATGCGGCCAATCCTCCTCCTTTTGCTGAGGAAGAGTGGCCCTGGGCTAACATCCGTGCCCATCTTCCTCCACTTTACTTGGGATGCGGCCACAGCATGGCTTGACAAGCGGTGCCTTGGTGCGCACCAGGGATCTGAACCCCGGGCCTCCTCCGCAGCAGAGAGCATGCACTTAACCACTATGCCACCCGGCTGGCCCCTCCACTCACCCTCTTGAAAACTTCCTTGTCTTGTGGACATTGCCCCACGGGTGGCCCCACAGACTCCATCTATTCCAGAATTTGGGGCCCATTTGGCTTTGTCGTCCCCCAGAAAAACATCTTTTACTGCAGAGATGGATTTGGACGCTAGTCTTTCAAGACTGTTTATTGAGTAGCGACTATGTGCCAAGCACTGCTGTAGGCAGCAGGGCTACAGCCGTGAACCAGAAGGAGGGAACACCGTGCTCTCAGGGAACTCACATTCTAATCGTGGAAACGGAGGCAATGAGCCAGACAAACAAGGAAAATATATGGCGTGGATGATGTTGTGTGCTGTGGAGAAAAATTAATCCGGGAAGAGAAAGAGAGTGTGCTGAGGAGGCTACAATGTAAAACAGGTAGTCAGAGAAAACTCCAGGAAAAAAACACAAAAATGATGAACCCTGGATCCTCATGGACTTAGCTCCCAATTGGCAGGTTTAACCTTCCACCCCAGGGTCCCTGAAGACTGAAGTAGCCACTCCAGTCAGCTGCAGAGATCACAAGTGCTCTGGGGACACTTTTGCCAGCTGAGGACCAGCTAGCCAAGAAAACGTCCTTTCTAATGAAGTTATTTCCCGTCTAAAGTAAACCAAGCAGCATTGGTCTGGAAGCATCGCCCAGAGCTGGCAATTCAGCCATTTGTTTCCGTCCACTATTGAGCAGGGCAAGTAGAGGTGAGTGTCTTGTGCACATAAAGTGACGTGCAAAGAGTGGTTTTGTGCTCCAGGACTGAGGTGTAGAATATTCATGGTAATAATTATGGCCATTCTTTTCTTCATTTGTCTGCGTTGGTACTGGGTGATGTCGCCTTGCTCGATCCGCAAACCCCCCAGGAGACAGGTCTAGAGTATGAGTGGATAATTCACTAGTTCCTAGTGTTAGGACTTATCTAGTAGTTAGAAATACCCATCTCTTCTCCAAAGGTGTGGTTCACCAGAGGGAGGTAGTTCTTAACAGGAAGGGGCATTTGGCACGGATACATATTTTATTTATGTTTTTACTTGTATCTTTGTTCCAAAATCTGAAAGAGAGGAGTCAATGATTATCTCTGGCGTATGGGATTATTGGGACTTTAACTTTTCAAATTTATGTTTATGAACTGTCTGAATGTTTAAAATGGTGTATTACTTTGTTAATCAGAAAACATTAATTTTATATATAAAATTGAATACATAGAAGTACAAGTGTAAAAGTGAACTTACATATAATTACCTGGTATTTAGCTTTTTTCTTTGACCTTATTATGTAGATCATTTAAAAATTTCCAAGTATTGAGGTTTATTGTTGTTCTTTAAATTTTTATTAATTTCCAGGTTTATTGCATTGTGGTCAAGGATGTAGCTTGTATAATTTCTGCTTTTTGAAATTAATTGAGCCTTTCTTTGTGACCTACTTTATGATCCATTTTGAAAAACGTTTCTATATTTATCAAAAAAGGCATATTAAACACCCCTCATAATCTAGTTCTAGAATTAGCATATAGCAGTTGTTCAAAAACTGTTTATTAGTGAACTTGAACACCAGTTAATTAAATGTTAATTCATCTTTTATATTTATTCTAATTCTCTGTCATTTATTTTTACTATTTTATTCACCAGTCTCCTAATTTATATCCTGCTTTCTCCCCTACTGCTCTCCTTCCTGAATTAAATGGACTTATGGCAGATGTGTTAACATCTTCCCTTTCAGTCAGAGTTCTGACATTTTTCTTGACTGTTTAATCATTTGTATTCTAGCATTTTCATGCCATGTTACCCAGTACATAAATATTGATGTGTGCTATAATTTCATTATGGGTGGCATAGTTATCAGTATAATAAACCTTTTTTGTCCCCTTTGATGTGTTGACCTTGATTTGTTCTTTCACTGAAATTCATATCGTGATCCCTGCTTTCCTTTTGTTTGCATTTATCTGATAAATTTTTGTCTATCCTCTACTTTAAACCTTTCTGCATCATTTTATTTTAGATGAGTCCTTTTGAAACAACACATACCATAACTGAATTTTATTTTTAAACCCAACTGGTAAATTGGGTTTAATTTCTGCCATCATGCTTTATGCTTTTGGGGTTTTATGAAACCCTGCCGTTTCCTAAGTTCTATGCTTTTTGTTTAAACTAACCGTACTTTATCTCTTTATATATTCTCTAGTCATTTGAAAAGCGTACTTCTTGTCTTAGCATATGATTCATGCATTTTTTTACACAACATATAACTCCTAATTATCTATTGGGTGGCAGGCACTATGGATATATGATAAAACAGATGAAATCTTTCATGGTGCTTACCATCTAGTGGAGGGACAGCCAATAAAGACACAAACACATAAATCAGAAGATATACAGGGCATGAGGCGTGCTGTGAAAACATGCCAGAGTAATGTGAGGGAGAGTGGCTGGAAGGCCTACATATTATTTGAGCGATCAGAGAAAACCTCCCTGAGGAGGCTACATTTAAGCTGAGACTAATGACAAGAACTCAGGTGGATTTCTGGGGAAGGACGTTCCAGTCTAGGCAGAAGGAACAGCCAGAGCCAAGGCCCTGCAGTGGGCTTCAAGGAGCAGGGAGAAGGCCACGGCCACGGAGCTG